TTCATTGAGCAGCGAGGTGTGAGCAGGATTGAAGTGGGGGAGAACCCTCCGAATGTACAAGGGTAAGAGCACGCAAATCCAGAACAAGTACGTGATTTCTGAGAAGGAAAAAAGAAGTAGTTCAGCGTTTGATGGATTGAGTAGTTCAGGGTTGGGAGTTTAAGAAACTCCCCATCAGTCCGGGCGTGTAAATGGTGATGGTGAGTATGTGGTTCGGATTCCAGTGAAGGATCACCTGTAGGACTCGTGTGAGTCGGAATGAAGATCTTGAGGTCAGATAGCATGGAAGCTTTCATGTTAGCAGTCAGTAGCAGAAGCAGCATGTAGAGCATGGAAGAGTGGCGGGAGAGCCTCAGCTTTCTTCAGCAGCAGTCAGTGGTGGAAGGTGATGTAAGACTAAGGGGCAGCCGTAGCATTCACTAGCAGTCAGTGGTGGGAAGTGTTGTTAGACTACAGGGCGGCCGTAGCATTCACTAGTAGACGACGATAAAAGGTGATGTAAGACTGCGGGTAAGTCGTAGTATTCCGTAGTAGCTTCGTTGGCGGAGTCAGGGCAAGGCCCTTATCTCCTAGCATTCAGATAGGGATCAGGAATGGGTAATAGATGAGAATGGTAACGAGTTTTCCTGTATAGCCCTTGAGAGGTGAGACCTTGGGAGAGGCCGCTCTAGGATATAGTCGGGTGAGACCCCGTGGGCGAGGCCCGTATGAGAATAGCAGTATAGGTGAGACCTGAGAGCAAGGTTGCTCAGTAGTATGGTTGGGTGAGACTTGTGGGCGAGGGCCGTGAGTTTTAACAGCACAGGTGGGACCTGGTAGGGATCTTAATGTTTAGACAGGGGATCGGGGATCCCATGAAATTGTAGTGCCAGCATGGTAGAATAGATTGACAGTATAGGTGATTGAAGTTTCTTCGAATGTCACTGGGAGCGACTAGTGGTTGTGTTGGGTCAGCGATCGGTGGGAGTTGGTAATCCAGATATTGATAGGTTGGTAGGGACCAGGGTGGTCTCAGTTCATCCGGAAACCCGATAAGGAATAGCAGAATTTCCAGTCAATAGCAGTGCGAGTATGCAGTGTATGGTGGAATTCAGTTAGTTGATCGCGGGGGGTGCTCGACACCAAATGATAGTAGAAAGAATGCCCACTGGATACTGGCGACGATAACCCATACTGGGAGTAGCGGGAGTAATAGGTTGGGTGAGGAAAGGTTCTTCATAGTGGCAGAGGGGATAGATGGTTATGGAACATTGCCTTAGGAGGGCAAGGAAATCACGCAAGGAAAGAAGGGGTGAACCCTATGGGTTCGGTTGCTCTACTCAGAGAGTACAAGAAGGATTGTTGGTTAAGAAAGTTATGTTTCCAGAATGTTCAGGGTCAGGATGGACCCGAGATTATTATCCGTAAGGATTGATGTTAGTCTGAATGACTGAGCAGAAGGCCAGCGAAGGTAGGCAGCTGGTGTTAAAATGATTGGTGGAGTATTGGAGACAAATCGCAGGCAATGGATCATGGCAAACTTCGAGGACGAAGTTTAGTTTAAGTGGGGGAGAGTTGTAACACCCAAATTTTGGAAGGCCAAGAAAAGAAAGAAAACCTTAATTTTAAGGGAGACTCGATGAGTCCAAGGCTGAACTCGGCGAGTCTGAGCGGGATCTGGGTCGAGGAGTAAGTGACCGACTCGGCGAGTTGGCCAAGGGGACTCGGCGAATCTGGTCTGTGCGAGGAAAACCCTAAAATCGGGACTTGGAGCCTATTTAAATGTTTCATTCTCTCCCCTAGGGCTCCTTTACTGCCCCTTTCACCCAGAACATCGAACCCTAAGCCCCATTGTTGCTCATTCAAGCTTCCAAGCCATTTTTAGGGTGATTTGAAGGAAGAAAAAGAAGGGGAATCATTGGAGCTTCAAGGATTGGCCTTGGATCCAAAGATTGGAGAAGTTTTCTGAGTTATTGAAGGTATTAAGTTGTTCTATCCTTTAGATCTAGTATGGTTGTGAGTTTTGGGGGTTTTCTAGCCATGATTAGTTACCTCTTTTGAGTTAGAAGCCAGATCTGAGGTTGCTACTTCAGATCTAAGCTCATTATGGTCTTGAGAAGCATAAAGTAGCAGCCCTTGAGTTGATTAAGGAGCCTCTTTGCCTTAAACCCTAGTTCATTGTGTATTTTGCCTAGATCTCCTTCTCTACACGTAAAGTTTGCAACTTTACGTGAGGAATAGGCTTGGGAAGGGTAGATCTACAGTTTGGAGTCCATGCATGACTCAAAAGTCCTCTGCATGTAAGGAGATCTGAATGGACCCGACAAGTCCTTTGAGTGGACTCGGCAAGTAGCATGAAGGTGAGGAGCAACTCGACTAGTGGGATGAACAGCTCGTCGATTCAGTAGTAGGACAAGGGCGAGTCCTTTGAGTGGACGGGGTTCTATGACTCATCAGTAGCAGGACAAGGGCGAGGCCCAGGATAGGCAAGGCCTTAGGACAGGATTGGTCGTATGAGTTTAACTTATGTGTTATGATATGTTATATGATATTATTAGTTGGCAGGCGAGGCCCTATGATATGTGTATGTGTTATTATTTTTTGGCGGGCGGGACCCTGTGACAGGCGAGGCCTAAGTAAAACAGATCTGTATCCGAGCGGGGCTCGAAGCCAGGCAGGGCCTGGAGCGGCGGGGCCGTTATAGCGGGCGAGGCCCAAGCCAGGGGGCGAGGCCCAGGATAGCGGGTGTGGCCCAGTATGTGATTATGCATGGTATGTGGTAGGGTGGGGAACTCACTAAGCTTCGTGCTTACGGTTTTCAGTTTTGGTTTCAGGTACTTCCGGTAGCGGAGGGAAGAGCTCGGGGTGATCGCATGGCACACACCATAGATTAGACAACTTGGGAATGTTTACTCTGATAATGAACATGTGTTTTGAAAACTTATACTCAGATTATGTTTTGGAATGATGACTTTGCTTAAAGTAATGTTTTATTAAAAGAAATTTTTTGGTCTTAAATTTTGGGTCGTTACAGTATATCAAGATTTAAACATGCCATTGAAAATTTCAACGAATCTCAAAAGATCTAGGAATTTCAATACATTTAATACTTAATTGTCTTTTTCAATTTTCATAGTGGAAATTGGTAAATCGTCATTTACCTACCTTCAAATTATTTGCAATTAGATTACAACATCCCTCTTCTGAATTGTAAATAATTATGTTGGGTGCTAGCCCTAATTTCTCATCTAGGTGTTTAATTGGGGATTCTTATCTAATCTAAACTTTGTTCCTTTTATATTTCAAATGTCTACTTCGAACAATAACAACGCTTCTGGATCGACCCCTTCCGACTCATTCTCACTCATGAACTTGTGTGGGAGGGTGGTATTCAATGGGTCCAACTTCAATGATTGGATCGACAACATTCGCATGGTCACCCGTTAAGAGGACTAAGAGTATGTTCTCGACAAGGAGCTGAAGGAGGTTAATGTGAACACTGCCACTCTCGAAGAAATCACTTGTTACGAAAATCATGAGCAAGGTGCTACGAAGGTTCATTGCATCATGCTCGCAACAATGACTGCTAAACTCCAAAAGTCCTACGAGGACTACTATCCCTATGAGATGCACCAAGATTTGATGGAAAGGTACCATCAAAGTGCTAGGCAGGAACGGTATAAGATCATCGCTACGATGATCATTACCAAAATGAAGGATGGAGAGTCCATCACGACCCACTTGTAGAAAATGCAAAGATACGTGGACCGGTTGCTGAAGTTAAATGTTAACTTCGATGAGGAGTTGGCCATAAATATTATTCTACACTCCTTACCTCCTTGCTATGATCAGTTTCGTATGACCTACCACATAAACAAGGAGGAGATCACTCTAAGAAAGCTTCAAGGCCTGCTAAGGACTGCTGAGAGTAGTCTGAAAGGAAAATCTATTGCATCTACTCCTACTACTGCTGCCTCTGTCTTGGCTATTGAGTAAGGAAAGTGAAAGAAAAGGAAGGATCCTTATAAGAGCCACAAGGGAAATTCTCATGATGGTACCTCTTCTAGTGGAACTAAAGTTGGTCCTATTGCTCCCTCTTCCAACCCGAAGGAAGCAGAGTGTTACTACTACCACGAGAAAGGGCATTGAAAACGAAGCTGCTTGAAGTACCTACAGGATATCAATGATGGGAAGATAAAACCCACCTTTGCAGGTATTTATACTATTCAATCTAATAACTCATCACATGCTATGTCTTGGGTCCTCGATATAGGATGTGGTTTTCACATTTGTTCTGATTTGTAGGGTCTAAGAAGAAGTAGGGATGTGGACTATGGGAAGATAAACTTGATCATGGGGAATAGGAAAGCGTCGTTTGTCACCAAGATTGGAGTTTACTCTTTAATGCTTAATCGTGGGTTAGGTCTACATTTGAATAATTGTTTCTATTCGGCAGAAATGACACGAAACATTATTTCTTTTCATGGTTTGTAGAGACAAGGTTTTAGATTTTCGTTTAGTAATGAAAATGGTTCTATTAATGCTTTCTTTAATGGTACTTTATATTTTGAAGCATTTCCTTGTAATGGAATATATGAAACTGTGATGGTTGTAGACAACTTAAGAAACGATGTGTTGCATATCGATTCTTCCAATGGTCTAGATAAAGCATGCTTGTGGCATTGTCGTCTTGGACATGTCAACAAGAAGCGCATAGCCCAACTCCAAAAGGATGGAGTGTTAGAGTCATTCGACCTTAGGGATCATTCTCATATCTACCCAATCAACGATCAATCTGATTTCTTACTTGCCAATAACGTCTTCTATGTTTTACTTCAATTCAATTTTAGTCATGAACACATATTCGTCCTGTTAGTCCTGCCTGCAAGGTGTTTGATGAAATGTCGTTGTGAAGTAACCATAGAAAGTAATAAATGATAACTCAGATCTATTTGATTTCCATGGGTTATATGAAGCCTTTTGCGTGTTTTAGAAGTAGTAATGAACGATTCAAGATATGAATGTTGTCATGGAAGAAGCTATATACAAACATTGTTTCAGGTTGCATCACTACGAAGGAGCTCAGAACAGTTATGAGGTCTCTTGGGCAAAACCCAACAGAGGCTGAACTCCAAGACATGATCAACGAGGTCGATGCTAATGGAAATGGGACCATTGATTTCCCTGAGTTTCTTAATCTGGTGGCTAGGAAGATGAAGGACATGGACTCTGAAGAAGAAATGAAGGAAGCTTTTAGGGTTTTTGATAAGGACCAAAATGTTTTCATTTCTGCAGCTGAGCTTCGTCATGTTATGACAAATCTTGGTGAGAAATTGACAGATGAAGAAGTTGATGAGATGATTCGTGAGGCTGATGTTGATGGCAATGGTCAGATCAACTATGAGGAATTCGTCAAGATCATGATGGCCAAGTGAGGATCTCCAACTTGAAAACTAAAACCCTAAAAAAATATTTCAAATTTCTAAAATTTTAATTGTAGGTAGGATTCTTTTCATATCTTTGAATGCTTGCTTCTTTGGGTATCTGTTTGGATTTATATGTATTCCTGCTTGTTTGTTGTTTAGGTTTTAAGTAGTTTTATTCTTGCTTGCTGTTTTTGTTATAAACATAGAACAAATTCTATGAGGTTCTCTTGATTTTAATTGTTTGTGGTTCATCTTTGAATTCTTTTTTTTGCATGAATGCGTAGTTGTTAAAATTGGGATAATCTTTATTCTTTAGTTTTAATTTTCTTGTGTTCTGTGTAGCTTAATCTTTGTTTAAAGATTAGAATCTTGTTCTTCAGTCATGTCCCTATTAAGTATTTTAAGTTAAGAAAATAAGATCCTTTAGAATCTTTATGATTATATGCTCTTATTCTTTGCCAAATATACTCCACTCACCTTAATTGTTTTTTTAGTTTAAGTTAATACACTTAATGGGATTTGATTTAATATGGTAAGTTACTAAGTTATATATCAATGTTTTATTTTTTCCAAAACAATAGAGTTGATAGAGAAAGTCTAGTGGATGAGATTTTTCTTTTTAGTTAATAACTTTTTTACAAATTTGCTTTTCATATGTGTTTTTCCCCAACTTTTTTTCAATTTTCTAAAAAAAAAAAGGCATTATTTATCCAATAACGTTTTATCCTAACATGAGTTAAATGGGAAAAGTTAGACATTTGGATTAAATAGCTGAGACTAGCACAAAGGTATTCGATATTTTATATCCTACTTGCTAAGTTTATTGCGCATTAAATAGGTCAATTTGGCATTTTTGCCCTCTTAACACACTTGATATCCATCAAGATCTCTCTATAGGTTGGTGAAATATAATGTAAAAGGTCATTGAGCAAATTACCTATGCACGTCAACGAAGATATTCATAGTTTTTAATAATATCAGGGCAACACAGGTCAAGTAAAAGATCGCACTCTTTGAGTGCGATCTCAAACTTAGCCAAAAATTCAACAAACTTAGCCCCAACGGACCTCAATTCCTTAGCCAAAAATTCAACAAACTTAGCCCCACCCAAACTTAAAACTTAGAAGAACCAATTTCAGCTGCAGAAATCAAATCAACGGTGTGGCTATGCGATAACGATAAGGCCCCTGGACCTGATGCTTTCACCTTTGCATTCATAAAAAGCACTGGGATATGATGGAAAGCGACATATGCCTAGCAATTAAAGATTTTGAAACTTCAGGAGTAATTGATCGAGGGTGTAACTCCTCATTCATCATCTTAGTCCCCAAAACATCTGACCCGATTTCCCTCAGTGAATACCGTCTGATCAGTCTAATTGGATGTGTATACAAGATTATTGCCAAGGTCTTGGCAGAAAGGCTAAAAGTGTTGCATCCCCCATGTCGTGATTCATACACAAACGGCTTTCACCAAAGACCGTAACATTCTAGATGGCCCATTGATTATAAATGAAGTGATATCTTGGCTTCGGAAGAAAAATCGGAGGCGTTCCTATTCAAGGTTGATTTTGAGAAGGCATTCAATTGCCTCAATTGGAAATATCTCGAGTCGGTTATGGCTCAAATGAATTTTGGCCAGAAATGGCGCAAATGGATCTTGGGTTGCCTCTCCTCAGCTCGTGCTTCTGTAATCATTAACGGTTCAGCCTCCAAAGAATTATCACTTATAAGGGGAGTACGACAGGGCGATCCCCTGTCTCCATTTTTGTTTATTTTGGCAGCAGAGGGCCTCAACATAGCGCTGGAAGAGGCCAAAGAGCAGGGCATCTTCCATGGAGTTCAATTGCCAAATAATGGCCCTACCATATCGCATCTTCATTACGCCGACGACGCGATCTTCCTCGGCTCCTGGTCAGTACAAAACGCAAAAAATCTGGTTAGAATCTTGAGATGTTTCGAATTATCCTCAGTTCTGAAAGTCAACATGGCCAAAAGCAAACTCTTTGGCATTGGAGTTAGCGAGGTGGAACTAGACTGGCTATCAAGAAATGTCAATTGCTCAATCAGGAACCTCCTCTTCTTATATCTAGGAATGCCTGTGGGCACGAGTATGTCTAGACTGGTTCATTGGAACCCTCTTATAACCAAATTCCAAACAAAATTATCAAAATGGAAAGCCACAAATTTGTCGTTTGGGGGACGATTAACACTATGTAAATCAGTTTTGGGGAGCCTAGGCTCATTCCTCTTCTCCCTCTACAAAGCCCCAGTTAAGGTACTAAAAGCACTATAAAAACTAAGATGTTGCTTCTTCTGGGGTGGTTCCTTCGAGAAAAAAGGATGTCATGGATCGCATGGGATAAAATTCTGTCAAAAAAAAAAAGATGGGGGACTCGACATTGGCAGCTTGAAGGCTCACAACTTAGCACTATTAGGAAAATGGTGGTGGCGCTTCACATCCCATAAACATGAACTTTGGAAAGATGTCATAAAATCAATATATGGGAATGACGGGGGGTTCAATGCCCCATCCAGAGCTAAGAGGAAAGGATATTGTTGGGGTAGCATCGTGAATCTTCATAACTACTTGTCCAAGGATAACCTGGATCTTCGTAATCTCTTCTCACGATCGTTAGCTCGGCAGGACAACAACATGACCTGGAGCCTTGAACCCTCAGGGATATATATTGTGGCCTCTCTTAGGAGATTCATTGACGAAACAATATTGCCAAAAACACCAGCCGGTGCTTGGCAATGGAATAACCTAGTCCCTGGAAAAGTGAATATCCTAGCATGGCGAGTTTGTCATAGACGACTGCCTACCAGAGTGAATCTAAACAACATTGGTATCAGATCCTTGACTACCTGCCCATTATGTAACATTGCTGAGGAAACAGAATCACATCTATTAACTGAATGCTTAATCTCAATAGAAGTTTGGCGTATAGTGAAGAATTGGTGGTATATGTTCCCATTATCTTTCAGTTCACTGAATGAAATGCTTCAGTGCAGGAACTTAGCACCGGGCAGGGATAACCTCGATCAAATTTAGGAAGCAGTTGTGTTAACATACATTTGGGTGATTTAGAAGTTCAGAAATGAGAGAATCCACTTGAACTCAGTCAAACCATTTAAAATGTTGGCAAATGAAGTTCAAATACTAAGCCATTTGTGGATCAACTCAAGAAGCAAGCATAAAAAATTTAGATGGGCGGAGTGGTGTTGTGATCCGATAGTTGAATGCAAAAGATAATAAAAAAAGGGGGTGCGAGGTTTTGGGTGGGAGTTACTCGGTTTCCTATTGGTAAATTTGGTGTCCTTGGTGATGTGCCTAATTACAGCTAGCGTGCGTTTGGTGTGAGTCTCTTTGATAGGGTAGACATACGTTAGGAGTCGGCTGTGATTAGGTTATTTTCGTTGTGTTTCCTTCCGTGTGTGGGACGTGGGATGGGGGACATCACAATAAACTCTTGGTGTGCGTTTTTATCCTTTTTCTGGTGTTGCATCTTTATTTTGCAGGTGTTGTAGAATACTGGAGCTTGAAGTCGGTCAAAGGCATAAGCTAAGATGGAAATTATGGTTCTGGATAGCATGGATGAATTTACCATTATCTAAGAATGGCTGATTTGGAGAGCTCTACACTACACTGCAACTGCGAAACTGATAAAGGGGGGGGGGTGGTGCGAGGTTTGAGTGTGAGCTCATTGGTTTCTTATTGGTGAATTTGGTGTCTTGGTGTTGTGCCTAATTACAGCCAGTGTGCGTTTGGTGTGAGTCTCTTTCATGGGGTAGACATACGTTAGGAATCGGCTGTGATTAGGTTCTTTTCGTGGTGTTTCCTTTCGTGTGAAAATGGGGACGTGGGATGGGGTACATCATAATAAACTATTGGTGTACGTTTTACTCCTTTTTCTGGCATTGCATCTTTATTTTGCAGGGTTGTAGAACATTGGAGCTTGAAGTCGATCAAAGTTAACTCACGCTGTTGAACACGACTCTTTTATATGGGAAACAACAAGACTTTTATTAAGACACTTAAGAAGATTTTACACTTTGAGAGACTACTACAATTTTCTTACTTGGAGGCTTTTCTTGGATACTTAGATGTTGGATTGTTTGGAGCAAATGAGCTCCACACCTATTTATAGGTGTTTCCACCTCCTTATAGGAAGTCTCTAGGTCTACATACATTCATGGCTATTCTATAACTATCTACCATATTCTATATCTATTACAAGCTTTTATATGTTTCTAGAATGTTCTATAATGTCCTAGATAAGTATAGACATTCTTGTGTTTTCCATAGTGTTCTAGAATGTTCCATAGCCTTCCAGGGTCTTCCGTCTCGTTCTGGAGTATTCTAGAATCTTCCGACATCTTCAACACTCCTCCATCGTATTCCATAATGTTTTAGAATCTTCCAGATCATTCTAGAACATGCTAACTTCTTCTAGACAATAACATGATTCTATTGGGCTAGTGATGACCTTCAACACCCCCCTCAGCACTAGCCCCTATTCGTTGTACCATGTTGAGCTGATAATTAAAGCCCTCATATTTTTTCAGTACTTAACCCTTTATGAACTCCATTTGCTACTTGGTCATTAGTCTTGATATGTTTCATATTGACTTCTTCCTTGAGAACTTTTTCTCTTCCACATGTTTTGTTTTTCCTTAGTTGTTGCAGTCGTTGCTTCGTATATTGTTTCCATAGTTGACAATGACATTCGTGGTTGCCTTTGTTGCACCATAATATTGTTCCTGACTTTGTTGAATTGTCTTGCGTAGTTTCTTATGCCTCCCTTTGAGAAACTTGTAAGCATGTGAGTTGTCCCTTTTACAAGCCTTGGAAAATTCCCACAATATTAACATGTTATGACGTGATCCCTTATTGATCTGCTCATCTCGTTTAGATGTTGCTCTGTTGAGAAATTCTACTCTGCTCTTACGAATTAATGTGTTTTTCTTCTTTTTCTCCTTATCCAGTTTCTCCATCACATGTTCCAT